GTTGTCGACCACTGCCCTAAAAGACGCTGACGACAAGTAACAGTCTCAGACTGTCAACTGCTGAGCACAAGGTAGGCAAGGCACGCGCGAACTGTAAATTCCAAGCGAAACTTGCCGCAGGAGCGGTACAGCTGGCACCGCGGTAGCGAGCAGTGGTGGTTGCACTGGTTGTACGCACTGTGGCTGTACCAGAGGAGTGCAACTCCGATGGAACGCAAATTGGAAAACCCTGGGAGGCCGCAGCGCCGTTTGAATCCCCTGGTATCTGGTGGCTGTACTAAAATCAACATGGCGGCACAGCGAAACCAAAACCGAAACTGCACAGCAGCGCCATTGTGTTTAGATGGATGGGCGGTAGCTTGCGCCACCTAGAGTTACAAATATATATATATATTGTAGGTTTTTTTTTTTGCCCGGTTTGCGATTTCACCTTATGTTGTACCGCAACGAAGCCTAGAAAAGCGAGCTCACAGCATTGGCAGCTGCCTTTAATGCACGAGAGCTTGTACCGCCGAGATCTGCCCCAGAGCAAGGAGCTCGCGCTTGTAGCCATTCCTGCGGTACATCATGGTTTATGTGCGTTGAAACGCACACAAGCCAGCACTGAAAAGCGAGGCCAGCAGCAAAGCAGCAGAAACCTAGCAAAGCAACAAAAGTGACACATACACAAAAAATATGCAATGCTTGTCCTTTTGCGTTCATTTTTATTCAACAGACAGTAGAAAATACAGACGAAATTTCTCACCATTTTGCAGACAAGAATCAAAGAAACGAACAACAAAACGGGATGAAACGTTTAGGTTACGTGCGACGAAGGTGATGATATGCGCCCTTGCAAAAACACTTCGCTAAATTTACATAAAACCTCTAGGTTCGTGATCCTTTTCGAGCTTCTTGGCGTATACTGACAAGCCTTACGCCGTCCAGCCACAGGCGTGGAACCTAGAAAAAAAACAAAAGTTGAATTGCTTGATTGACCATTACGTGCCTGATATGGCCATATGAAAACAGCGAGCTTTTTCTGCGTCTCCTTTCAAAAAACGGTACTTGGAGTTCAACACTGCGACACTAAAAACTCGTGTCTCCTCTATTTTTCTTCTCATTGACTTAAATGCCTCCACGCAAAATTGACAATCATTTCGAATTTGGTAAAGACCGGCGACGGTGTCTTGCAACGGTGTCTTGCAGGTCAAGAAAAACAGCTCAGCTTTTTGGTATTGAGTCTTCATGGAGAACCTGCATTCGTTTTTAATATTATCACTTAAATTTAGGAGTGCGTCACTGCTAAACGAAACGGGAAACCAGACCGGATCGCTCCATCGCTCATCCTCAGTTAATCGAAAAATATTTAGGCTCATTTGGTCGAACCGGTCGAATCTGGTGAAAAGTTTCGAAGGTGCGTCGAACCGGTTCGACCCAGTCGAACCCCAAAAGTTCGACCTAAAACTCCGGTTCGACAAAAGTTCGCGACACCCCTAGCCATTTTAGCTAGGGGTGTCGCGAACCGGCCGAGGTTCGAGTTCGACCAGGTTCGACTTTTTCGAACTTTTAGTCGAAAAATTCGACGAACCCTGTATTGAGGTTCGACTCGTGCGCGCATGCGCGACAGGCTGGCCAGTTGGCTTCGGATTGGATGGTGATGGCTCAGGGATTAATAAAGGACAGCGCTGATTGGTTATTTCAGTTAATACAGTACAAAAAAATTAAGTTATTAACTTCTTTAGTGATTAGAATTAGTTTATTTTAATTGCAATTGTTTATAAAATAAAAAAAAACCTTTTTATAAAAATAAATTTTCTAAACCTAGACATGCTTGTATCAAGGTCTGGCCACACTGTCCACAAAGTCGAACCGGTCGAAATTGGTGAAAAGTTCGAAGGTTCGTCGAACCGGTTCGACCCAGTCGAACCCCGAAAGTTCGACCTAAAAATCGGGTTCGTCAAAAGTTCGCGACACCCCTAATTTTAGCATTTTTAGATTATGAGCGGCTTCGTCTTCGTAAGCGGCTAGGAAACCGCTCAACCTAGCTCGAAGGTGTCAAATGTCGTAATTAGAACGTTAGCATTTCATTTTTTAAACATGGTTTTGCTTCTTATTTTAGGTTCACAATTTAATGATAGAGCAATGATGGCCAATTCGTAGCGCCTCCCACCACGGAAGCGCTGCTGAGCGCCCACGCATTGACTCCTTTGTGTTATGGTCGCGTTCCTAAATTTACTCGATTTGACTCCAGGGTAAGGGTTTTGTATGTTAGTACCTTGGCGTTCTAAAACCCACAGCTTTGCCTCTTTGGCCAAAACCCGGAACCCAAAACCTACCCGCGTCCAGCGCATCCCCGCGCCGCTCTATGACGCTCCGCGAGCGCGGCCATTGGACGGCCGTCTTGCAGTCAACGAAATCGCGTTTCCGATAACGTCGCAGAGGCTCGCGGCTGCGTGTTCAAAAACACGCTTTCTACTCATTCGTCGTCATCCGTTGAAGAAAGATTTTTACAACACCATGTAAGCGGTGAGGCTTAGAGTAACTGTATAGGCTCTGCTTGATCATACACAGTTACTCTAGTGAGGCTTTTACAAAAGCGCAGTCTGCAGGAAAAGGTCACAACTCGTGGAAAGCAAGTTTTGCCAATGAAAAAACAGTTAGGGCGCGGGCGAGCTGGTGTAAGTTTACCATTTTTTAGACCACCTGAGACTGGGTGGAAGGAACACGACGACGTCTTTGAGACGTCGTGTTCCTTCCACCCAGTCTCAGGTGGTCTAAAAAAATGGTAAAGTTTTGCCAGTCACGCGGCGTAATCAGAGCTTTCTTGGCACGCCGAGTCTCTGTGCCTTCATCCCGCTTGGGTACCGATCAAGAATTGGAGCCGTGGCAAGGTTTTGAAGGTGTGACGCGCGTAATGTATATTTGCATCATCGACATCGAGGAAAAAAAGGGGAGAAAGGGGGGGGGGGGGGGGGCACAAGTGAGGAATCTGCGTCATGCAGTATCTTGAGGTCGTTTGTGTGGAAGAATTCTCTCATGTGTTTTCGTGTGCTTCACTGCCTGTCTGTTGTTTGTTCAAATAAAGTTGTGAAAAAGGGGCACATTTATCAGTTCTAAACATTAGCAGTCTCAGTTATGCGACAGCCGCAGATGTGGTACGTAACACGGTTTTCTTTTAGATGCGGGGCATCTCTTGCTCGGGTCTGTGTCCCGCGGCGTCGTAGTCCGCACTCACACTACGCATGCGCAACTCTCCTCCTTCCCTCTCTCCAATAGCTGCGCGTTACTCTCTCCGCTCTCTCTCTCCTACCAGCTGCGTACACTTCGCGTGCGTTCGCTTCTACTCACACCGCGCGCGCATGCGCAACTCTCCTCCTCTAGTCTCCTCTCCTTCAAGTGTGAATAAGATATGAGCAGCAGTAGCGTGCTGTCCCGTCAGTTAGTGGGTTGGCGCAAGCAAGCGTCAGCACCACCCCACAATCTAACGTAATAACACTCAAGTTAACAAAGTTAATAACACCGTTAATAACGATCCGCGATGCTCCACATCACCCCATGGTTCCCCTCGGGAAGATGGTGTAATTTTTTCTTGGGAGCTTTCGGTACTTCTCAACACGGTTCGGGCGCTTGAACTTCTTGCGTAGCGCAAGTTCGTCTGCTTCTTTCTGCAGAAGTCAGAAGCGGATTCAGAGGAGGGTCCGGATGTCCTGACCCGGCCCCTTTTGAATTCTGCATGTTTAAAAATTTAGGGAGTGGAAACGGGAAAGAGGGTATATGATACGCTGACCAACACCTGACCCCACTCAAGAAATACCTGCGTCCGCCCCTGGCAGGGGTTGTGGTGACTTCAGGACGCCTAGCTCTGATGGGCCGGTCGAAGGATATTTTGTACCATGATGATTGTAACCCAAGATTGAAGCAAAAGATTTTTTATTTTTTATTTTTTTTTTTTTTTACAGTGGAAGTCAGCGTTTTGTTTTCTGTCATTGTCTTGTTTATCCTCGACGCCGTCCGTCCTGGGGTGCCTGAATGTCTTTCTAGTATTTACGGTGATGTCACCCTTTGTAGTAGAACCCGATGCCGACAGCACGCGCTCACGGGTAGAATACAAAGAAATCGACGAAAACGAAATGTCGCCAAAGCACAGTTAGCGCCACAAACACGTGCAGGGACACGCTCTTTCACTCGATTCTGAACAAAAAAGAAAAGTAAACGTGTGGGACGAAATGGCCAGATGTCTCCACCCCACTGTGCTCCACCCTAAGCAAAGCGCACACGAAGGCACCCTAGTCCGTCCTTGCTGTTTCTCTTCCACTGCAAAAAAAAAAAAAAAAAAAAAAAAAAAAAAAAACTTTTTTTTTTTTTTTTTTTTTTAGTTTTGGGTTAAAATTATTATGGTAAACGTCCGCCAGCTCGCCTGCGCACTGACCGTAATTACCCCAAGACAGGTTGCTTTGAGGCGACGTTGCTTCAAAGTCTCCCACTGTCCTTCAAATAGAGCTAATCAATCCTCGGCATTCGGGCCTCACCACCACCCCTGCAAAAGAAGCAGACGAACTTGCGCTCCGCAAAGACTTCGTACCTCTGTGTTGGTGTTCAGTTAGCTGAGTGTTAGACGTCGCCTTTTCTATTTTCTGTTCCGCCTGCGTTTCGGTGTTTCTCTTATGGGAGCCTGACGTTTTTCCTTATTTACCTTTGTGTCGTTGTGCACTCTATGTTCACAAGAAAATTGCAACGCGCGTTTGGCGCATTCCCCGAAAACGAAAGTGGAACTATCCTAACACAAATAATTTCTGCTTTATCTAACAAATAACGTTTACTTTGTATCAACTAAGTTTTTTTTTTTTCGCTTTTAGGAATAAAAATTGAATTGACGTTCGAGCAAAAATAACATCGATTTGAACTCTTCGGAAGAAACGAAAAGAAGACAATCCAATCCAGGTTCCTGATCGGTGACTTTGTCAATTTCGTTTGATTGCGGTGTATGTGAGTATGTGTGTATGTCGTGAATGCGCCTGGATGGATTTGAACGTTATTGCGGCTTTCTCTAAGTGCAATGTAGAACGTCGCTACCACAGATCAACGAGATCGAACGTACTCCTTCAATGCGCTTCAGAACCAGGGACATGCGCCCGTCTTCAACGCACACTTGCGGTAGATCGGCGCCATATGAACCCTTCGTGAGTTGTAGCGCGTTCACTTCAGAGTTAACAACGAGCAGCTTGTGCACTGTGTGTATCTCCCGAGATTTCGACAGTCGTACTGGTCGTACTCCCACCGAGGGCATCATAGCGCCTACAAAGGTGCAATGAGGAAGTGCTGCGTCTTGACGTGTGGCGCCTGTCAATCCGACGGTGTGTCGCTCTTCAGCTTTCCCAAGAACCCTAGACTGAGGAGTAAATGGGTTCGCATGGTCAACAGGGATCGCTCTAGTATCTCCTGTTCCACCGTGGTGTGTTCTAGACATTTCCCAGAACATCTTGTGGGGACGAAGGCCAAGCCGCGACTGACAAGGGGCTCATTCCCGACGCTGCAGCTCCAAGGAGCGCCGACCGCGAGTACCGGAAGAAAACGACTGCGCAGTCGTGCCGGTGAGTGACCTTTGGTGATCGCGACTTGTCGGTTTAAAGGGACACCGACAGGGTATTTATACTTGCCGCGGTTTTTAGTTGTACGTGACATATGAGAGCCCAACTACCCAGAACAGAATTTGCGGCTCGAAATTCGGTTTCTTTCCGCCCGAGTCGCGCTCGCTCTCTTTTCCGTGGTAAAGGGCCGCATTCTAAGGTTTAGACGCGACCACCAAATTTAATCAAAGTCGTGGGTCATCGCGACTCCCCACCTGCATTATGCATTCGGAGGTCGCCGACTTTTCTTGAAAGTTTTGACTTAATTTGCCTGTTCAAGATGCTTACCCTTTTTGTGTTATCTTCCAGTGTGAGAATCAGGGAATTCCAAGGCTCGTAGCCTGCTCGGCCTTCGCAGGAAATGAACGTAGAGAGAAAACGTCAAGCAGCCCATGACACAGGCCATTCGACGTTCTTCAAGAATTATTTCCGTTAAGATAGTTTCCAAAATGCCTTCCCGGCTATGTTCCCGGCCTTCGGGAAAAAATAGCTGATGGGATTCGGTTCGGGGGTATGGGGACGAAATATACACAGTCTTTCATTTGCTTGGTGCTGTGCAGAAGGGCAGCTTTCCTCAAAACGTGCCCCAAAACAAGCCGAATTCCGTCCGTTCGTCATAAAGTAATTATGGTTGACACTGTATATTGGAGTTGCTGTGTTATTTGAAACCTTTCTCAAATTGTGTTTGGATAACGCGGTACCCTGGGTGGGATACATATAATATGCGTTGTTTGACCTATAAAAAGGAAGTATTTTAAGTTAAAGGCTATAAAAAGAAATTGTGGCACTAAAGAATATCATCAGCTGGTGGCTACAGCAAATTCCACTCATAAAAGGATTGCCCAGCATGTTTCCTTACTTTGAGTCCCCATTCGTAAAACAAGGATCATGTCAGAAGTGTGTATGATGGCACAGAGTTAAAACACAGGCTGCCTTCTTTTTTCTTTTCCCTTTTCATTTTTCTTTGGTGGTTGGGGGGGGGGGGGGGGGGGTGTACAGGTTACCAGGGAGCTGTGAGACGCACTTGGGTACCCGAAGTGCTGCGCGAGGCTCACCAGCTACGGTTCGAATATCCCTGATATTATCTACGATTGAGAGTGGGCCACCATGATACTCCTCTGCTTTTAGAAAGCTAATGAATGAAAACACTGGAGAATACTCACAATGCGTTTGGTCCAATGTTGAGCTAAAAGTATGGCTCCTTGCCTATTGCAAACATGCAGCAAGAAGCTCTCATGTCAGTTTCCTTTGTATTCTCTGTTACAGGGTCTCACAATGCTCCTGCTATTTCAGCCTGTGGGGCCTTTTTTTCTGAAGGTGTTGATGGTCTGTCCTCTTCGCATGACCATCTACATGTTGAAGAAGCAACCATCACTGTGGTGAAGCAAGGCAAGCTCCTTTTGCAGCACAACTCTCGTTGCTCTGTAGAGTGCACAACCCGTGGTAGCGAACAAGCTGGACACTGAAACAGAGAAAAGATCAGAAAAGTCTTAAGCTATCAGAAAATATGTCTAAAACAAGAGTCTAACAAGCCGTTGGACATAGCAGTTCCTCCATGTGATGGAGTACAGGTTGGTTTTGTTGTTCGTGGCTTTCAGAGCTGAAATAGAATGATATGGCTTCATCCTCGGACCACTCTGCTGCCATCTGAGTCCTAAAAGTCGATAAGGGATTCACCAGAATTGCCAAGCTTGCACGCATACACCAGTCTCATCTATGACTGTCGGCTACGGCGACGCGCCGTTGCTCAACTGAAAACTTGTCGCAGTGGAGAAAAATAAACAAACTCACAGAAATCCAAACTGTATGTAGCCTTCAAACTATTTTTTTAGACGGAGGAGCGAGCCTGGGAGCTCAGCAGGAGATTTGAAACGGACCTCCGTGCCCTTCGATTATGGGCGATTGATACACTATGGGCACAGTTAGAAATAGTTAAAGGCAAGCTGAAACACTTCTTGAAAAAAACGATTTGGAGGTGAACTCTGGCATATTTTATCCCGTGAATCTGAATATCACTTTTGTTTTCCCCAAAGATGCAACTAAACACGAGAAAATACAAAAAACCTACGACCAGTCGTGATGTCATACTAGACACTTTGGGTCACCAAGCGCATGTCGCTCGTGTGGGCAGCGTGTGCAAGAGCAAGTTTACCAGTTATATTTTTTCGCACTGACACCAGTCATGGCGTCTCTTTCTGACCTTTTTGAAAATAGCAGGAGTGCATGTGCATAGCGTTGACAGGCGCCGAAGATGCGGGAGAGCAGAGATTCCAAAAGCTCCTGGTATGACGTGCCGCCCCGGGAAGGGGAGGGGCTTCAGCGGTACTTTAAAAATTAATTTCTGCAGCCTTTGTGCATAAAATTGAAAAATAACCAGATATTTGTGATTCTAGAGGCCAAATGAAGACAATTTAGGTGTTTTTACTCAAATACAGAACCACTTCAGTTTCTCTCTAAACAAATCTTGCAAAATTTTAAGGCATCCGTCAGGCAGGTCACATTATCTTTGCATGTCGGGATCCACTTATCTGAGCGCATCACATACCACTCGTCTCTTTATGCACAACCATTCAAGCACAAACAATAATCGACTGGAATGACCTCCCAGCACGCATAGCCAAGGAAGATGATGTAACATAATATTATGAACTTATGTGCGATGATAATGTCTAGCTTGTCAACCTTGTACCAGAGCACATCTTGTTTGTTATATCATGTGGATACCTACGCATATGACCTTCTGCCAAAGGTACTTGCATACTAGAGTAACGATGGACGTCACCACTTTGTCAGTCGAATATGACTCTGCTTTGTACTGGACTCGGTGCAACATTCCTTTGCTGTCTCTCCCAACAGAGCCTGAGGAGATGCTTGATACTCCAACCATAGAAAGCTTGTGTTCCGAGGACTACAGTGGAGTGTCCACTACTCCGCTGCACTTGCGGGGAGAGGAAGACAGAGCTTGTGCAGTGAAAGAAGGTGAGCTCTTTGGAATGTTGCCATGTGGCTTCAAGAATGTTTTTTGTTTGAACAAAATGTGAGCAGAAGTGATGTTTTCCTCTTTTCAGGAAGCTAGATGTATTGGACGAAACAATAACCACATATTGCTGCTTGTAAGGGAACAATTTTGAACATAGAAACTATTGCGGAATTGGCAAAGAAGGAGAGCTCACTTCCAATCTTCATAATTCTTCATTTTGTATGCATCTTTTTCTTTTTTTTTAACCATGTGCTCAAAATAATTTTGCATGTGCTATACGCAAAGGCTTCTCGTAGATCTGATTTCGCAAATACTGCGAAACATTCCTTCACGTTCAAGAAATAGACACAGATTGGAAATGTTTCAGGGCTACGGGATAAATACGCAGCTTGCACCGACGTCACCACGGCGGCCATTGTGGTGACCTTGCTAGCGAGCGCGTACCGTCTACAGCGTACGCTTCCGAACTGGGAGGGGGGTTGTCTGCTCGTTATCAGAACCAAAGCATTTCCCACCCCCGACAACAATGAAACAGTCATGGTATCAAGGACACCTTGGCTTGTTACGAGTTCAGCCGGCTCTACCATTATCATACGGCCATTCTTTGTGCTCGTTTCACAATTTGAGTCTTTTTTTCTTTTTCACGAAGGAGTATAATGGTTATGGTGGTCAGGGTTCGCAAATCAGCTCGAACGCATGGTGGCTCGAGTCCCAGAGGTGGCGATACTTGATTTAAGAGCTACGTTGGAACAGCCTCACTCCTCGCCACTTGTTTTCGCGCGTTGCACGGTCACAAGTGGTTTGATTGAGTCGTGATCGTGAGACCGTGCTGGAGAGCAGACAATGTTTCTCTGTATTGGCATGTCTCAACCAGGCAGTTCAGGTTTTCGTTACTTGTGAATGGCCATTCTTCGTCCGATTGCAATCAACATCTGCGCTGCTGGATGCCAGTCGGACTGTCGGAAAAAGTGGAGCGCCAGTGGCGTTCACAACAGCACGAGATCTCTTGGCTGCGACGGCAAACGAAGAGGCTTCCGTGGGCCAGAAGTTTGATAAATGTGGATGCTTTCCGGAGTCAGAGGTCGAGCTTGCAGCGTACGTCGCAGAAGTGCGCGATAATCCCTGCCCATGACGCGCGATGCAATCACCGAGCAAGCGCGAAAGATGCGGTTCATGCGGTCATTTGTGAAATGCGAGATTTCCTTGGGTGAAGCCGACGATGTGTTTTGGGAACGTAGCAGTGATGACGAAGGGAAGGACAGCCCCAGCACGGACGAAAGACGTAGGAGAACGACAGGGCGAAGTTTCAGTTGTCTCGCATCCAACGTGAGCTTCCTAAATTGAACAATGCTTTGGCATCTCGTGCGCGCATGGGCAACTAAAGCACGCCGGAAGGTGTCGAGTGCGCGGTGTAGGCTAGTCGTTTTTAAAGAGGCACCCTGCAGTTCTCCCGAGTTCGCCGTACAGTAGGCCCCTCAGCTATAAATTGTTTTCATTTTGCTGACACGCAATGTGAGGGGCTAGACTTACAATCGAGTTGACTTACAATCGGGAAAATATGGTAACTAATTATTCGTCGTTGTTTTCTTTCGTTAACGGGCCCTGGAAATTGGCAGTTGATTTACTCGCAGCATTACAAGTACAAGGAAGAAACTAAATGTTGACAAGTAATTTTTGTTCTGTGGATAAACAGCTGTTGACTGAGTTCATAAGGCCTGTTCATGCACTTGCATTTGCTGAGGACTGAGTTCTCGTGATCTCTTACGTCTAGAGAACATATTGCACGCTGGAGGCGTCTTGTCAGGTGACCCTGGAACTGCATTTTACTAGAGCGAAAGTTTTACATTCTGTCTGCAAAAAATTGTAGTTTGTAACATAGTCACAAGGTCTTTGAGCCAGGAAGGAAGGTATAATGCCCGTGAAAGATGGGAAATATACAAAAACTGAAAGGGTTCCGCAGCTGTCCGAGAGATGGCATTAGTGTGTTTTCTCGTCAAAACAGATTTAAGGGGTTTCAAGACACGCTGTCATAGCCAGTTGCAGACGCGTGAACCGGTCTTTACTTCACACATAGATATAGAACAATATTTGTTTTGCATTTGCTTCAACAGAGGTGGACTCCGTGTCTGTCGCTTCAACCTGCGGGGATGGCTACCTCGAAGACGCCATCTGTCTCCACTTTTCCGCCGAATGCCCGGTATAAGTCGAGACAGCTTCTCTCAGGGTGAAGGAAGGCAAGTCCTCACAGACGAATATTGAAAAACAGCCGAATTAAAACGTTAGATTGAGCTAGTTGGTTCACGATTTTGATGGTATTAAAAAGCACAAAAAAAGAGAGGCAGAGAGCGTCCGTCTGTGTTGTCTGTATCTTTTTCGTCCCTTTTATAAGTGTGTGAATACCAGTGATGTGATTGCTGCGCCAATTGCGCCAAACTGCGCCAAGGGGCTAACCCTGCTACATCCTGCTACATTACGCCAAATTATGGCTAATCTGCGCCAAGCCTGCGCCAAAGGACCAATTTTGGTCGCCTTTCAAAAACGAAACTAAACTGAGAACCGTAATTGAGCATGCATGAGCTTGGTGGCACAAAAGACGCCGCCGGACACAAAGTACCCTGCATCAATTGTCTATTCGGTCTGGGATGATTTTTCCCGTCGTCTCGCGTTTCGCGCTCTCGTCGTCTCGGAAACCTCGTCTGGCGTTTTTTTTACTTTTTTTTTTTTTTTTTTATTTGTTTAGGGGTAGACGCGGGCGTGTGCGGACGCTCTGATGTTAGTGTGCCGAGTGCCAGACATGCCGCGCGGCGAGAGTTACTTGCGCGGCGAGAGTTACTTGCGCGGCGAGAGTTACTTGCGCGGCGAGAGTTAGTTTGTGAGCTGAAGCGCTCGCGCGACCACAGTCGCCGTGGTTGCGCGACGTCGTGTGTTGCCGTCCCCACGTCGCTGCAGATATGGCGCTTTCTAAACTGAAACGCATCGACATTCCTGCTCTTGTTTAAATCATACGATGCTATAAAAATCCCTCTTTAGCTCAATGACTGCTTGGCGAAGTTTTGATTACCTAGGTTTCTCTCGGTAAGCTTTCTTTCGAGAGGGACTCCGGTACGTGAAAACTCTGCCGCGAAAAAAGTTCATGACGAGAAGTGAGCTAAAGCGAAGAAGGCAATGTCTGCAAGCTGAATCCGCACACCGCGCTTGTTTGTCTCGAGTTCAGTCGTTGCACAAAGCGGCCCAAGAACTTTTTGACCCTGATTCGCAATGTCTTGCATCGATACGCTCAGGTTCTTTTTTTTGTGTGTGTGTGTTTAGCTTGTACCTCGCCTGCCGGCCTGGCAAGCACGCGCCGCTGGACTGTTTATTGTCGTATGCTGGACAGTTACATTTTGCATACTATTTTGGGAACCAGGTGGCGACGGAGCGGAGTGGCATGGTTTCGTTTTCGGTCGAACAGCCGTTGTCTCCGCTCGCGCGACGAAGCACGTGTAACTGCAAGCCTGCCGAAGTTGTCTTCACGTGCATGTGAACATGATTGCACGAGAGGCACTAGCGGGGCGCTTGCAATCCATTGTTTTACATTTGCTTACTTTTTATAAAAATCTGCCACTTCGGGAACCAGTAAAACAATAGCAAGTGTTTTTTTTTGTTTTTTTTTTGGAATTGCTCGGCAACGCTTACAGCGCTGTATACTTGTCGGATGTCTCAGCAGCAAAAACACAAGCAGCGAGTTCCGCCCCAACACGTCACATCACAACACAACACATAGTGCCCTTCGTTTGTCCAGCACTTAAAACAAATATTTATTTTTCTAAGAATATATGCTCCAAAAGTCACTTTTTTAGCTCCGAAACACTGTTTGGGCTGCTCCAAAAGCCACTTGTGCTGCTCCAAAGAACTGTTTTGGCTGCTCCAAAAGGTGCTCCGAAATGGCTTAGGCCAATCACATCACTGGAATACTCAAATATACGAATACAAATCGAATAGTAAGTTCTGAATAATTCGATTCGTGAATCAAATTCCTAGTGTTCGGTCACTCTAGTATTCAGTATATTCGGGGAAAGATGCGCAGTTGGCACGGAGCCGACAAAAAAGCTGTTTTTTCCCCAATGTTAGTGCAGTGACGTTGGGACAGGCCATGTGAGAAGCACCTCATGGTCCTAGCATTCCACAAAAAAAGATTGAGCACACAAACTAGAAAAAAAAAAAACGGAATTGGACGCCACAAATTTTATAGCACGCAAATTTAATTGCGATCGTGACACAATCTAATCTCAAATCACATCCCAAACATCCCATTTGCGCCACTTGCAGATATGAATTGTTGGGAAGCCGCAATTCCACGCCATGCCTATTTTTTTTTTTTCGCATGTAAACCTCCTTGTTGCAAATTAAAGCATCAATGTAGGACACACTTGGCTCACTCACAGAAATCGGCGACTGGAAGATCACTGATAGAAAACTATATTAAAGGGATACTGAACCGAAATTTGGATTTCGCAAAGTAAGGCTGCAGAAGTGTTGAACGCGACGCTACAAACTCCAAAACATCACCCGTACATCGATATCTCAAACGGCTGGCCGTACTTTTGGGAAAGAAGGGCGCGATCAAGAGAGTTCTTTGACGTAACTGTCCTCCGGGAGAATTATAGAATGAGGAGAAGCGGCCTTGCTTCTCTCCTCCTTGCTTCGGTTCACCAGCTTGACAGGACGTAGCGAGGAGGAGAGAAAATGTGAATCGTGACGTGCCTTGTCTCATCGGCCTCGTCGGCCGGGTTCAATCGCGCATTTCTTTTCCAAAAAATATGGCGATCCGTTGGATATACAGTAAAACCTCGTTATAACAAAACGGGATATAACAAACTGATGGATATAACAAAGCAATTATAATTCCCCTTGCTTGCTAATAGTGGGAAGAAATGGACATTGGCTATAACAAACTAATGGTTATAACGAAATAATTACGACCGCTCGTTCAACTTTGTTATAACGAGGTTTTACTGTATCGCCGTATGAGCAATATTTTTTGGTTTTGCAGCTTCCCGCCTATCCACCCGGCCTTGTTTAGTGAGCTCGAAATTTCGGTTCAGTATCCCTTTAAGCATGCCTACATAACTGGCTGAGTTGTCGTTGTTTTGGAACCGGAAGCCACAGGTTCGGACTCGAATTGAACCAAAAGGAAAAAGAATAGTGTGCTATGATTTGAGAGTATTGCCAACTGTTCAGTATGCTTGTTTGAAATACAAACTGCAAGAAGGTGACAAAAGGACGAAAGCGTGGACCAGATGCAGGCGTCGTCACCAGAGTCGTTATAATGTATGCTAGAGGTTCAACTGGCGCTGCTGTCGCGAATTGAAGCAGACAGCGACCGGTTGAAAATTGACTTCAGGTAGTGCATTTCTTTGGAAAAAGCGAGTGCATTTTCTTTCTGCGCTCGATTATAAGAGCAAATATCATGAATAATTCGAACATACTAAGTAGATTGGAACATTTCTCAGTCATGCGGACTAATTAATTGGTCAGTTACGATGTTTTTCTTTTTCAAATTCATTGAATTTAGAACGGTGCTAAAACAGCTTCATATATGCATTTATGTCGGGGGCAGATCCAAGGGAAGGGGGGCAACAAAGTCGACCCCCCCCCCCCCCCCCCCCCCGCCCTTTTTGGAGTGCAATTTGACATGAGTGGACACCCCGGTGACATGAAAGAATGGGAGAATGGTATCCTTGCAAATCTTCCCCCCTCCCCTCTAAACGCAGTTCTGCTGGATCCACCCCTGATTTATGTGCACTGTTGGACACTGTTAGTGCGAACACAGAGTTGGCGCTTTACAGCTTGGGGGATATACTACTTTTCATACAAACAAAGGACATCTGGAAAACCAAGAGAGACGAAAAGAACTATGCAGTAACATTGGATCGGTAACTCCCTGTGCATGTATGATCAAAATAAATAAAGGCCACGTAATATACCTAGTTAGATAGTAAGTACTGCTTTATTCTTCCTGCTCTATGTAAAGATGCTTGTTCTACATTCAAAACATCACCCGCTCGGGGTCATTTTCTTATATTAGTGACAGGACTGTCATAATAGCAATACAGTATACAGGTGTCACCGGAATGCTGGAAAACCTTGAGCACACTTCATATTCCTTTCAGTTGTTATTTTGCTTAGAATCGTTACTTGTTTTTGCACACCTGCTGTGGAACACCGGCCTGGGCTTGAGTCTGGGCCCTTGCATCCCGCTGGTGAAGTCTCGTATGGATGGTGGGGAAAACGGGGAAAAGATGTAGTTTCGGTTTCAGTAGTGAACAAAATATAACTTTTGTTAAGGGGCATGTTTACTTCTGAACCGCTCGCTCGTTCGGCGTGAAATTTACAGGTGGTTTTTGTAGCCATATAAAACGAGGGCATGCAAAGTTTCAGCCCTGTAGACCACTTTTATGAGGTTCTATACTCCTCCCCCTCCCCCCAAACGAAGTAAAGCGTAGCTTTGCATGGTATTTACTCAATGAATGTATCGTTGAGAAACGGTGTTCACCACATATTTTTCTGGTGGAATGCATACTGGAATACTTGTTGCCGGTTACTATGAAAAGAAATTTCTGAAATTTGCATTTTTCAGGTTAAAAATTTATGAAATATATATATATATATATATATTTTTTTTTTTTACATTTGCCAAGTTTTGAATATTATAATTATTCATAATAAAGGAACATGAAAATTCAAAATCTAAGTTCATAGTAACCGGCTCGATAAAATTTTAATAATAATAATGATATCTTTATTTCCATCGATCTTGATGGGGGAGCTCGAGGAAAAAAGCTGCGATATGCAGCTTGGCTGGTCCTCGGTCCCCTTACAGTGGTCAACGGCAGGCATCGAGAAACGAGGATGAAAATCACATCCAGTAGCAGCTGAAGGCATTGTTAACAGGAAAAGAAAACAAAGCAAACAACGTTTTATGAAAATAATGCATCATGTACAAAAATATCCATGCAAGTCTTTGAAAGTCAAGTTTTCAAGGGAAACATTACTACTACAAAAAGTATTTAACAAATTTGGAAGAGTAAATTGGAGCATCTGAGACCATAGTTCGTTCGCTGAGTAACCATCTTCCACTTCTCCGCGTGACGAGTAGAATACACTGGTGAATTTTCCTCCAGCAATGCAAGTTTTTTTAAGAAAGATTTTGGCATACAATCCGCAAATATTAAGTCTCTCGGTAGTTTCATACTGAAACAATAGTTTTATTAAGTGGGATTTGCTGTCAAAAAGTGAAGCCGAGATAAATGCACTTGAAGTTTCAAGATGACGTTTTA